AAAAGTGGCAAGCAGGCTAGGGGATTAAGCGTCTTGGAAGGGATAATATGATATTTGAAATTAGATTTTCTTCGATTATCGGATTGAAGAAGGAATAAATTTAGATAATTGGAATAGAATAGGATAGAAGATATGCGAATATTAAATCTTGATTTTGAATGATTCCTATCAGTAGAATCAAATCGATTTCAATTCAGAAGATTGGAAATATTTTATATTTAGAATTCTATATCGAATATTCATGAGATGCTTCTTGAATTGATTATCAATATAATTTCAAAATAGATAAGAATATATCGTAGATAATAATATAATTGATAGATATAGATAAGTTCAGAGTTTGATGTATTCGTATATTCGAAGATATATCGGAAATCAAATTTGGAATATCGAAATATCATGATCAAGAGGAAAATTTATCAAATAATTTGAAAGAGAATATTCTTGATATATCTTTCTTTGATATATGATTTCATAGCTTGAAGAGATATCTTATTTCAATTATGAAATTTATTGAAAAGAAAGGCTTCGAAGATTTATTTAATATTATTTGATTAATCATTGATTTATTGATTTATCTGATTATGTTGATCAAATATATCTCTCGATATTTCATAATGAAGGATTTAGATATTAAAATATTCGATACAGAATTATTTGAATTTGATTCAAAATTAGTTCCGATACTCTTGCTAGATATTATAGATTGACGGAAATCCGCATTTTGACCGATAATCTATTTGATCTTTCTGACGATATCTCCCTAGAATATCTCAATCGGATTCTGGATAATCATTTTATAGATAAAATGATCTATGAAATGATCATCATCCGAAGAAAATAGATATATATCATTGAAATATCATTTTTCTATGAAATGATTGACGAAGATTTATAGCGTATGAATATAGAATTCTATTGCAATCGTTTGCGTATTATAGAATGATTAATTGATCTCCTCCAATAGAATCATTGAATCATTATAAAATGATCTATATATCTTATGAAAATCAATTTTGACGCTCTTGGAAAATATAATCAATCTATAAATGAATCTAATGAATGAAAAGGAAATGATATGAATTTATAGATGAATGAAAATTAATCTTATCTATCATCGTAATTATTATTACGATCAATAAATTTCAATATCATCTATCATCATTATCAGAAATTATTCATAATTTTTTCATATTCATCAAATCATCAAGGATATGAATCAAAATCATTTATGATCAATCTCTTTCTAGGAATCTTTTAGGGATGAGAAGGCCAGAGACCTCCAAAATATCTAGAGAAATTCCAAAGATTCGCAGGAATATTCCTTTCGTGATATCCTATGAGAATCCTAGGAGAATTCTATAAAATCGACCAATTAAGAGATCTCTTCAATAATCCCATAATATATTTCTAATATATTTGCGCATCTCGGATTCTCATAAATTTTCATAAGATCTTCTAAGAATCTGCTAGAGACGATTGGACCAGGGATCCCGAAAGATCCAGAAAGATTCCGAAGATTAGCGGATCATTATAGAGAAGAATTACGATATATTGGGAGGAATTTAGGAGGGACGCAAATCATTTTATAATCAAATATTCTTATAGATAATCTATAGGATCTTATAAGAATCCCAGGAGAAGCCTGCAAAATCTTTAGATAATGAATCCGATCAATATAGAGATCTATTGAATACTCCTTTAATTTCCTTCTAATATATTTGCAGATTTCTGGATTCTCATCAATTTTTCATAAGATCTTCTAGGAATCAGCTAGTAAATATTGGGTCGACGATTCCCAAAAGATCTAGAGAGATTCCGAAGATTAGCAGATCATATTATATAGAGAGATTACGATATATTGAGAATTCTCATAAGATCTAGGAATCTATTAGGATTGATTAGATCGAGATCCCTCAAAAGATCCAGAGAGATTACGAAGATTAGCAGATCATTTTATAGAGAGAGATTGTAATATATTGAGAGGAATTCAGGAAATAGTAGATCATTTTATAATCAGATATTCTTGGGATCAATCTATAAGATCTTATAAGAATTATAGGCGAATTCTATAAAATCTTTGAAGAATCCTAATCAATATAGAGATCTCCTTAGCAATCCTTTAATTTCTTTCTAGAATATTTGGAGATCCCTACATTCTCCTCATAGAGGGATCTCTAAAAAGATCCAGAAGGATTCCGAAGATAAATAGATCATTTTATAGAGACGGACTAGGATATATTGGAAGCAGTTTAGGAAGAATGAAAATCATTTCATAATCAGATATTCCTTTAGCATCATTATAGCTAGGATCGACTAGGTCAGGAATCCCCTAAAGATTCAGAAGACGGGGCGGGGCTCAGGGATATCCAGCGCGATATAGGGATACAGAGGGTTTCGGCCAAATATCTCATGTTTGGCTCGCTGGCTCATTCTTGCTAAGCCCTAAACCCTAAAACCCCTAACTAAGACCCTATAAAGCCCCCACCCCTTATTTATAGAGAGGAGCTGCTATATATCGGGAGGAATTTGGGAAGAACATATTCTATTTTATAGCCAGATATTCCTAAAGATATCTAAAGGCGCCTATGAGAATCCCAAGAGAATTCGCAAAATTTTTGGAGAAGCAATCCGACCAATATTTTTTTTTTCATAATCTTTTAATCTATATTTAAAATTATAGATCTCTATATTTTGAAAAATTCTCATAGGATCTTCTAGGAATCTTTTGGAGGCGATTAGACCAGGGATTCTTAAAAGATCCAGAGGAATTCCGAAAGAGAAGGCACGTATACCATATTCAGAGATTCCCTGATTTTTTTTATAAAACGAATAGCGTATTTTCCTATTTATGAAATTCGCCAAAGAATTCTTATGAAATGACCTGTAAATCATAGACCACCTAAATCTTAATTATGCACAAAATTAACGCCAACCCGTTCCAATGACAAGGCATCGCAAATAAATCAAGATTTTTTCGGAAAATCCAGAAATCGCAACCAAATCAATATCAAAAGAATTCTCGGCATATCTAAATAAAAAATAATTTCCCATATTCTCAAAAAAGAAATTCGCCTATAAAATATTCCTCTATCAATATATAGAAAAGAATATCGATATAAAATCTGCCAATATAATCAAAAATTATTTGGTATACCTATCCTTGATCATAATTTCAATAATTCATATTAGAAAAAAATATATATATATCTTCATATTTCTTATTCATCGCAAAATTCGAATATAATAATATAATAACGTGGCTAAATAAAAAAAAATCTTTCTCCTAAAAAAAAATAATATATATATATAGAAATATATTCATCTATTAAAAAGAAACGATTTCAATTGAATAATATCTAAAAATATTATCTTAATCCTTTCCTTATCTCGAAATTGAAATCATATAATAAAATATAAATAATAATCTTTCAAATCAACTCTTAGAATTTCTTCATTAATAATGAAATGAAAAATTTCAAGAAAAAATAGAAAAATCATATCTCCTCCATAAATTTAATAATTTCAATTCCTAATCATTTTTTCCCTAATATTGAAAAAAAAAGATAATTCAGCTCTTCATATAGAAAATATAGAGCGATTTATTTCCTAATAGAAAAAATTATCAATAAGTAAGATTCATATATCATCTAGAAGAATAAGATATTTAAATCGTATTTGATATATAAATCATTAATATCTTTAAATCCCCGCCCCGAATCTTCAAATTCCGCCGGGCCGCCGCGCCCACAGCCAAAGAGAGAGAAATAGCTCGAAATCTTAGGAGATCTTTTGATCATACAATCTTTTCATCGCGCGTTTTCTTATTCGTGCGGCCCCCGCATCCAGCCCGGGTTTCGTATAAATCTTCGTGAACAGATTTTTCCAACCGCGTAACGATAAATATTATCTTAGTCGCGGAGTCCCCATAAATAAATAGATTTCCGAAAATATTAGATCGATAGATTCAAAGAAGGATAGATTCGACGGAATATAGATTGATGAATGAAGTATTGGCAAACGTTGATAGATGAACATACCAGCAGACCGAACCCCATATAGATTACCAAGCCAGCACCCCGACAGACGGACCGACAGACTGACCGACCGATTTACAGATTGTCTATTGGACACGCCTAATCCCCGAGAGAACCGACTTTAAGGAGTTAAGATTATAGCTCACATTGGGGGAGCAATGCACTAAGGGTCCAACGTCGGAAAACCGACTCACATGCTAGGTGATCATGAAACTATGAAACTACAGGATGCCTTTCAGACACCCTTCACATATTCAGGATCCTTGCATTAAGCTCTCCCCCACTTACTGGTTCTTACGTAGTAGGGAATCTGGGAATCTATTACATAGGGGTTAGATAGGGATTATCCTCATTCCAAAACAACCACCCAGTCAGCATGCCTCCCAGTTTTGTGCCACCGTACGCACGTATACATCTTCAATCGAGCCAAGTACAGAAATAGCATGTCAGTACGTCTATACACGTGATCTCCTGCAAGTTTCAGGTCGTCCGGACATACAGAAATCTCGGGCGCATGACCAAAGCATGCCGCCCATACACATCATTCTGTTAGGGCCAGAATAGAAGCCCAGAAATCCCGTTGTGCACCAAAGAGGGCACTCCTCACCATCCGAATGCAACATGCGTAAGGGATGCTGGCATCCCGCTGAGGAACTTTGACCAGCGGCTGCCACTGCACGAAGCAAGCCCCCCCAAAAAGGGGTTGCTAGAAAAAACAGCCGCTACCCAGGCTTGGGCATGCCTTCTGAGGCTTGCCCATCCCGGGTCCAACAGATCCACTACCCTCCCAATGCCAAAGCAGGGAGGATCTTGAGTTTAGGTTGGCTTGGGAGTGGTACATAAAAAAGGTGTAACAGTGTAGAAACTTTTGCCTTTGGGTCTAGAGGTCTGCGCAGGAGGGTAGGCTACACGTACGAAGTGCGCACGGTGCCAATCCCAGGTGCTGCATCCTCTTCTGAAGGCTCATCCGGCCTTCTCTGCTGCTATCACAACCTTCAGGGACAACTGCTGGAGAACAGAATCGTGGTATGATGTGGGAAGTGTTGAATATGAAAAGACATGACTACAAGTAGATACCCATACTTGCTGATACCTAGTAAGACATGCTAATTAGGATCTAATGGCCAGTAGCTGCTGTCAAAGCTTTCTTAGCAATTAGCTTGAGCATGAGCAGTAGTGACCATGAGCAAGCGTGCAAACAGTGTCGGAAAATCACAGCACGGTTGGGCAGTAACAGCAGCAAGAAGAACAGCGAAAAGCAATGACATTGCTGTCGGCCTCAGAATACATTTTGGTGAAATCCTCCTTGGAGAAGCGAAGGTTCCAGTTGATCCTGCAGCACAAATTTCACTAACCATGCTGATGTCTGAAGATGAAATTCCAGAGACAAGGAACTCCAGGTGGGTAGGGACTTCAGAGGAGCTGCATGGGGATTCAAAGCCCTAAACCCTAAACCTTATAATGGTATTCGATAGGTTTCCTAAAGGGATGACTTAGGGAAAAGATTTCCTATAGCGAGGCTGTTAAGTTGAGTACATTCCAGTAGTTCGTAGTAGATGATGGTAGATGACAGTAGATGATAGTAGATTGTAGTAGATCATGGTGGATCAAAGTAATCAGGGTAGATCATAATAGATTATAGTAGATCGTGGTAGATCATAGTAGATTATAATAGATCATGGTAGATCAGAGTAGATTATAGTAGATCAGAGTAGATTATAGTAGACCATGGTAGATCATAGTAGATTATAAACCCTAAACCTTTCTAGTACATTATAATCACCCCTAAGCCCTAAACCAGCTGAGGCTCATCTTTAGGAACTCCAGTTCGGCTGTGTTCAGCTCCTCGTGCGGTATGCCGCACACCTTTGCGTAGAAAGTGTTGCCTCGCATCTTGGGATAGACTTAGGGTCCTAGGGTTTAGGGCTTATAGTCCCCCGTAGGTAGATAGAATATGGCTTTGGGTACATTATAATAAGATCCCCATATACACAGTATTGTATCTACTTAAGGGAGACTAGGGTTTTAGGGTTTGGGGGCTTACCCAGGTATGATGGTCATCTCTACAACCTACGCAGGGTGTAGCTTTTAAGTTGCTGACCAGGTGCTGAAAACAATGTCATCATGGAATTTCACGCTCACCAAGAGGCTCGTGGCCAGAAGGCGATGAATCGAAAACACATTCACAACCTCAAGCTTACTGGGGGTCAGTAAGCATTAAACGGGACATAACGGGACTAAGGAGTAGGGGAATGTATGAAGTAGGGAGCATATGGGGATTGCATTCCCTTGTTCCACACTAACTACCAGTACGCAACCTCAATCCATTCGAATTGTCTTCACATATTCCTACCATGATTGGGGCACAAGGGCAGTGCAGCTGCTGCCATCAAAGTGTTGCAGCAGCAGCAGAAGCAGCAGCCCTCCTCTGCCAAATGCTTCTAGAGGGCGAAGTTTGGACAAAGGTCCACCATGCGAATGATGTAAACCAGCGCCAAGAGGAAGCATGCGTCGCTGCATTTGAAATAGTTCCTCATGCGCACTAGGTAGTCCTCGATGCTGATGGTGGGCTGACGACGGCCTCACATGATTCAGTCAGCTTCTCGTTCTGTCTCGTGCCCTGGTCTCTTTACTAATGCTTATAGTCCCCCTTAAGGAGATAGAATATACGAGATCCCCATATGTCCCATATTCTATCTACTTAAGGCGGACTATAGTGGGGAATGGGGAAGCTCCGTAGTCCTTTGCCCCAGTCCCAGCTCAGCTTGACTTAGTGTCGGATCCCTTTTCTGACACTTCAAGGAAACATCAGCAGACATACCATCTTAAGTGGTAGGTTTCCCAAATGAGGGGACCCTAATATACACCCCAAAATACTATAATCCTTCTTCTGGCAACCCCCAATAAGGTACCCCTAATTTTGGGAAACCCCCAAATAGTGCAACAGCTAGGCGCCGTGGAAGCAGCTGGTATTTGGGGAAGACGTTGCCTCACAGGAGCTAATGCGCTCGGCACACCGAACATCATCCCGCAATGCACATTGCTGTGGAATCAGGCTGGGGATCAAGGCCCCACTCAAGCGCCAGCCGAGTGGCTGAATCCATGACGTTGGCATAGACCTTCGTGAGAGATGCCTGGGCACTAGTTCGTGCTCGGGGGGTGCTTCCTTTTTTGCTAAGCCAGACTCTGGACCACATGATGTTGCTGTGGTTCCGCAATGCCATGTCAAGCCAGGGAGCAATCAATTTGCCACCATCGATGTCAAACATCTTTTCCTCCGAGGCCTTGTCAGCCTGCTTACGCGCACTTACGCACTCTCCACCATCATGCTTGTAACTGTGAACACGAGAATCGTTTGTAGAGTTGTCACGAAGTTGTCCTGGTGGCTTCAGTGGAAAGAGAAAGACTCTGCGTGAGAGGGAGAGGCGGAGAAGCAACAGCAGCAGCTTTCCCACCATTGCTAGGGTGCGTCGAACTATCATCACCAACATTTAAAACGCCATATCCAAGACTACGTACACGCCATGGGCATCTCAAATTCTTGGCAACCAGACTCTCCCGACTCTCCTTTTTTCGCACACCGGCATTTCGGGAGACGCCGCGAACGTGCCATGATGTAGCTAATTCAGAGGTCTCTCGTGTGCCACGTTTTGTGCAGCTTTCTGGACTAGAACCGGTTAGAATCCGGATCACGTCTTCCAAGATGTGCCCCCCGCCTGGTCTGCGTTTTGCAGGAGAGGATTGCCAGCTGCTTGTGATTTGATCTCCTTGAGCAGGTCAGTGCGCCTGGGCAAGTGTTACTGAAACTCTCTTCGGGGTATGGAGAATTTCCGACTATTTGCTCTCATCTTGCCCTCTCATGGCCAGCATTGGGAAAACAAACGGCTTAGCCGGGTCATCGCTGGGATGGTCTGATAGAAATTGCCACTCCCCCTCTCTGCAAAGATCAGAGAAAACTATAGCTCTAGCCACCTAAAGGAGGGACTCTACCTCTAACTTTGAGACCTCCACCTACCTTATCCAACCAACATCCCCTAAACCCAAAACCCAAAAACCTGCAAACCCATCTTATTCAAACAACATCCCCTAAAGCCTAAACAAAAAGCCCTAGTAACCCATCTTATCCAAACAACATCCCCTAAACCCTAAACCCTAGTAACCTCTGAGACAAAGAAGTCCATGTGGAGCCTTCCACCTGCTCGCTCTGCTCGACCAGTTCCATGGGAATATGGGCCTTCCCGTCCTTCAGTCAAGATGTTTTGCGCTTATGAAAAGTCATGGTCTCTGTTATGTGCCCAAAACGCTGGAAACAAAGGTCTGGGATTGATCAGGGACTTCCAACTTCTAGAAAAAAAGAAAGGTCATGGATCTACATAGTCTATGTCGCAGACTTTATTGAAAGAGGTTTACTTCCTCAATACCTGGTCTAGCATGCGTGACAGCCTAAGACCTGACTTGGGCAGGCTGTGCTGAGCACGCTGCGAAGGCACTTGGTGAACCGCTTTATGCATGGCCTGCACAGGTTGGCTATGGTCTAAGGTTATTAGTACGGACCCCTACGGGCTTTTTAGGGGGATTCTAGGGACCTCAAAAGGGTACATATAAGGCTTATAATAGGTATATAATATAAGGATCCCAGGGTTAAGGGCCCATACTAGGGGCCCATGCTTTCAACTTTTGATATGCATTTCGCAGACGCGCGCCAGACCGTCATGGACGACCACTGCTGCAGGGCTTCATGCTCTTCATTTCCTCCTTATTTAGAACCTTTTGCCTGCAAAGCTATGCCCACAAAGATGCGGGGTATGAGCCATAGTCTAAACTCCTGGTATCCCCCTCATCAACCCCTGTAGTAGTCCCGTATAAAATTCCCTATATAGCCCCCTTCACGGAGTTAAGACTATAGCTCATATAGCCCCCAACTGCCGAGGCTGCATTTAGCGTATGCTTCTTGTGCAAGCTGCGGCCAGCCTCCAGGGTGTAGGAGTCGCTCCCATAACTCCTGGCACCATGACCTAGTCATCCCTGGATAACCGTTATAACTACAATAACACTACAAACCAAAGAATAATCATAAACAATAACGACAATACGGGTAACAACTATAATTTTCAATGGCGGAAGGACAATCTTGCATGGCTTCGCATGCAGCATGTCCCATCCTGGTGCTGTCATCTGTGAATGCTTAAGAACCCTGATTGATTAACACTTTCCATTTTCTTTTCCCTTATCCATATATAATCCCAATATAACCC